TCATTTTCAGTAACTTCTAATCATTGTTCTTTTATTCCAAGTACTCCTTGGCATGGTTTAAGAACTACTGAACTATTTAATAGCTGTTTAAAAGTAAAAGCTATAACTACTTAGACTATACATAAACAGAAGAAGACTAAACGATCATTACCTTTCTAAGAAAAGTGTTTATGGAGAAAGATTTAAGAGAACAGTATTATAGATCCAATTGCTCCATTACTCTCTGTGTTTTAAAGCAGAAAGCCGACTGGAATTTGCAAAGTTAGGTAAAGGATAAGACTATTCTGAGTCTAATGAAAAGATGAAGGTACTGTTCGAATTTGCAAGTTGCTCAACCCTTGGAAAAGTCAAGCCACTTCTGGGGCTGCTTAGGTAGGGATTCTTTGCTCCAACATCCCAAGTGTGATCAATATTTTTATTGTTATGCTTGGACACTAAATTATGCTAGTTGTGAACAAGAAAGAATGTATTTTCCATTCATATGGAAAAAGGAGGGGGAAAGGTATAAGAAGAAGTGTTTGAGATCTATGCAAGAACTTAAGAAATCAATGGAAATATTTCCATTGAGTTCACTGTGTTCTGCATCACATCCTTTACAGAGCTCACTTTGCTGTCAAGTCCATTCCTTCTTCCCCCTTCTGTTGCTCAACTTACTTCCTGCTGTTAAGATCTTTTTCCCAAATATTAATAAATCTGTATAATCTTTGCCCTCTAGCTGAGTTTTTCTTGTATGGCACACTGTTTCACTGTATGCGTGACTGCATGGCTGAGGACTGCTCTGGAAATTACTCATAAAAATGAACTGTCTGATAATACCACAATTGTCAATATGTGTAGGTTGCAGCATCCCCGGTGGGCCATTGTAGCAGATCATAAAACCTCATTTCCAGGAAAGTTTCAAAACTTTTATTTTCTAAGGAACATTAATTATCAGAGTTCAGATGACCTGTCCCATTTCTCCATCCACTTCCTCTCTTTTTTTCCTCATCAGACACGATAGTTTGAAGGCAACTGGCAACAGATCACATGTCAGGGTCCAGGTTTTATGCCCTATATGTTCATATCAATGTCAGCTGAAGAGTTTAAAACCAAGACTCATAAGCAAGACTTATAAGCCTAATGCCCAAACCAATGTTTGTATGTAACCATTTCCCCATCGTTAAACTTTTGTAACAACAGCTGATTTAAAAGTCTGACACTTATGCAGACATATGCTTTGGTATTCTACAGAATTCCAGAGATTCATGCCCTTCAGCGCTGCCTGTTGACCTCTCCTTCAAACACAGGACTTAGAGAAATCTTCGCAATGGCCACTCTGGACCTACATGGTCATGAAAACTAGTCATGCCCCCATCAGAGTTTACAGTGATGCATTTTTTCACTGATGAATTATATTCTGTTAAGACCAGAACTTTTTTAAGGTACTTACCAGTTCTCATGAAGCTCTTACATGGGAAAGATTCTAATGCCTAGGATGAGACTTGGAATACATGAAAGAGCAAGAAAACTGTCACCCCTCTCAGATAATCATCCTATGATCAAGACACCGCCTGGTGCCAGAGGAGTCCACATTTCAAGTTTGTGTTCTCCAAGATGTCTGAATGTCAGAATCCCGCATCCCAGGCAAGCTTTCTGGCCAACAAACTATCAGTTATTCTGATTAACAGCTTCCTCTGTCTCTCTGTTGGACCTGTTTCACTTTCTATAAAAAATTAAAAATTAATTGGAATAAGGGCTTGAACTTAGACTGCTCATTGGACTATTGCATTGATGTTTTTCCAGGCCAGTGAATAGGTAACAATTTGCAAAAACTTGGTAAGTTGCAGAGCAACAAAAGGTAGCTGAAGGGGTCCCAAAAATTCAAGAGGAAAAAAAACAACAAAGACTTCTGGTAAAGTGATTTAGTAGACTACGAAACACCTGGTTTTCAGCCCTTGAGCTGAATAAGACAGAACAAGGACTACTAGCTGTTCTAGGGGTAGCTTTGTCAAATAATCTCCAAAGGTCGTGGTTCATTCAAATTTTCAAAAGAGGCAGTATTTAAAAGTCATACCTTTTAAGTCATACCTTTTTGTCTGAAGTGAAAAAAACCCCGACCCTGTATGATCCTCTAACAAGTCTTTTACATTAGGATGAAGGTGTTAAGCATCTTTAGTATCATGATAGTTTGATTCTTAAAGTTTCTGAAACCTCTGGCCCAGACATGAAGAAGAACCTCAGTGTTCTAGTTCTCAGTGGAGTGATTCGTTCCTCTGACACTCTTTCCAGCTCTGCTGGAATTTTTCAAATGAAGGCTTAAGTCTATTATTTACATGGTATTTTGATATGACAAATATGACATTTATTCATATTTAGCCATACAGAAAGATAAATGAAGGCAATCAAATATTCAGTGATTACTGTAAGATTACCATAAAAGACCATATAAAAGGTAAGACAAGAACTGTGCAGGTTGAATCCTAATCCTCTTACCTATCCACTAGATAATGTTCCATAATAACTTTAATATTTATGCTTGGTGGTCAAAATAATTTGTTTTCAAACAACATTTTGATAGGGAACTTTGATTAAGCTCTTTGTTTAGAAACTAAAATACGTATTTTAGACAGATTCCCCTCTCTATAAAAAATTGATATCAACAAATTGGTATTCGTGTAGACCATGCAAGGTTCTGCTTTTTTTTTAAATGTCATATAATATTTCATTTTCATAAGCACTTGCATAAATTCAGTTAAGAGTTAACCAACAAAAATATACAAATATGAGGGAGGTTTTATGAAGAACTACAACTTCAAAAGGAATTGGTTTAGGAGTCATGACCTTATTTTTTGCAATAACTTATGCATCATGAACTTACGTAATTGGCAGCAGATAACATATCACACTCTCAGTTTTATGTCCTTGGTTTGACAACAGTGTCAACTGAAGTATTTGCTAACTGCAGAACTAATGGAACCTCATAGCTGAAAATGTTTTCATACCAAAACTGGTGTTTGTACCAAAACACTTCCTCTTTATTGTTCTTTTTCAACATTACTAAATTCAGTATCAGATATGCATAGTGGCATACAACTAATTTTGGACATAAAAAAATATCTTTCTGAATACTATTTATACTAGCAAAATAGAATTATCTCAGAAATAAAAACATATCTTTTTCTAATTAAATGTTATCAGAAAGCACAAAACCACACACATGTAATGGCCTTCGAGCTCTAAATCTTTGTTATCTTCTCAGCAGGAGTCAACATTGAAATAAAATATTGGGAAACGAGTGACCTGGATTTTAAAACACTTTCGTAGGGTAGGTTTGAATCTACTTCTTCCCTTTCCCCGGGACTGCATTAAGCAGCAGCCAAGAGGCAAGGCTACACTGGTCCTCTCTGTTGAAACTGGACACCTGTACCATCCACTGAAAAGGTCAGTCCTCTTGGGACACTGGGCACCTCATAAGCTACAGAAGAAAATATATAAAGTAATAATTATACAATAGGGAGGGGTTTAAAAGGAATGTTAGTGACTTAAGATCTCAACAGCCATTTAAATTCAATGGCAAAGAAGTCCAAATTTATTGAGTGATCTAACAATTAGAGTGGGACTTGTTTGGGTTTTGGCTCTGAAGTGTGTATTTTGTGGGGAACAATTCTGTTTCAAGACACTGAAAAATTCACAATCATAGACAACATAGAGTAGGCAAATGGCTGAAATTTTTTGTTCTGCTTGACTAAATTACAACTGAGAGGAAGGAAACAATCATATGCCATCAGTTTAGTAGACTATTTGTTATTATGCCTGATCTGAACCTGAATTTAAACAGGCCTGAAAAGAACCACTTACATGTTTTGAAATCTGGCCAATAGTAGATTACCGCCAGCAATGTAGATTACTTGGTAGACACCATTTTTGATTCAACTTTATTGAAAACTTTCAGTATCTGGGAGAGTAAATTACCACGAATGAATGCATCTTCAGGTTCCTTAGATGGTCTCAAACCTGATCTTCTACAGCAGGAGGTTCTTCATTCTCTGTCCCTGCCTTTGCCTTCTGTGTCTTGGTCAGTGTGGCTGGAGCTCTTGCTGGGGAACACCAAGGTAAAAATGTCATTGAGTACCTCAGCTTTCTCCATGTCCCAGGTAACCAGGTCTCCTATTTCCTTCCAGAGAGGGTCCACATTTTCCCTAGTCTTCCTTTTATCAATAACATACATATAGAAGCTTTTCTTGTTGCCCTTGATGTTCCTGGACAAATTTAATTCTGTCAGGGCTTTAGCTTTCCTAACCCGATTCCTAGCAACTTGAACAATTTCTCTGTATCCTTCCCAGGCTACCCATCATTGCTGGCACCCTCTGTAGGCTTCCTTTTTGGGATGGAGTTTGTCCAGGAGCTCCTCATTCATCCATGCAGGCCTCCTTGTGGTTTTGCCTGACTTCCTCTTTGTCAGGTTCCATCGCTCCTGAGCTTAAAGGAGGTGATCCTTAAATGTTCACCAGCTTTGTTGGGCCCCTCTTCCCTCCAGTCATAAACTGACCAAATCCATTCCTGTTTCTCTATGCAAGAATAACTGTGTCTATCATATTCCCAAATTCTGTTTTGTTTAGCCTTTTCCTAAAAATGTCTCATCATGGATTTTATTCAACTTCCATAGTGCTTCACTGTCCTTACTATTACAAACATTTTCCTGAGATCTGACTCAAATCTCTCTTGCTGCTATGTAACATTGCATTCAGCTCCAGACAATACACTCCCAGAAAGATCTGGGTTGTATCTACATTAGCATTTTAGTTCATCCCTGCTTTGATTTATAAAACAGTGTCAGACACACAGATTTTCAGGAAAAAAAAAGAAAAAAAAATCAGAAAATGCAGTGCAGGAGTGCATCTAATGATCTCTAACCAGTACATAGATCCATTCTGAGGGATCAGCCCAGAACTATTCCAGCACCTTAAAGCGTGCATGATTGTGGATGTTAAGCTCTCATCATCAACTATCTTACTTTACAGGTCCTGTTTTGCATCCACCCCACACTCTTACCAGGCCACACAACTTGCTAAAGTAGACATCTGCAGGCCAACATCCATTGGAGAAAAGCAAAGGATGGGATGGGATGGGATGGGATGGGATGGGATGGGATGGGATGGGATGGGATGGGATGAAAGAATGGAGGAACTGATTTATCAGGCAAGAGCAGGCCAGATGCACAAAGAAGGTAAAAGGAGACTTATAGCCATCATTTGCCCTGGTCCCTGTGACATAGAGAAATTACGTTCACACAGCTGAGCAGCCCCTTCCCTTATTGTGATCAACACACCAGGCTGGTCAGCTAGATGACACAAAGGTGAACTGTAATAGCCAATGCTCTATTACAGCCTTTAAGAATGACAGATTTTAATTTGGTATCTCAGAGAATCAGAGAATCAGAGAATCGTTAGGGTTGGAAAGGACCTTAAGATCATCTAGTTCCAAGCCCCCTGCCGTGGGCAGGGACACCTTACGCTAAATCATATCACCCAAGGCCTCGTCCAACCTGGCCTTGAACGCTGCCAGGGACAGAGCATTCACAACCTCCCTGGGCAACCCATTCCAGTGCCTCAACACCCTAACAGGAAAGAATTTCCTCCTTATATCCAATCTAAACTTCCCCTGTTTAAGTTTTAACCCACTACCCCTTGTCCTGTCACTACAGTCCCTAATGAAGAGTCCCTCTCCAGCATCCCTATAGGCCCCCTTCAGATACTGGAAGGCTGCTATGAGGTCTCCATGCAGCCTTCTCTTCTCCAGGCTCAACAGCCCCAACTTTCTCAGCCTGCCTTCATACGGGAGGTGCTCCAGTCCCCTGATCATCCTCGTGGCCCTTCTCTGGACTTGTTCCAACAGTTCCATGTCCTTTTTATGTTGAGGACACCAGAACTGCACACAATACTCCAGGTGAGGTCACACAAGAGCAGAGTAGAGGGGCAGGATCACCTCCTTCGACCTGCTGGTCACACTCCTTTTAATGCAGCCCAGGATACAGTTGGCTTTCTGGGCTGCAAGCACACACTGCCGGCTCATGTTCATTTTCTCATCGACCAGCACCCCCAATTCCTTCTCTGCAGGGCTGCTCTGAATCTCTTCTCTGCCCAACCTGTAGCTGTGCCGGGGATTGCTCCGACCCAGGTGTAGGACCTTGCACTTGTCATGGTTAAACCTCATGAGGTTGGCATCAGCCCACCTCACAAGTGTGTCAAGGTCCCTCTGGATGGCATTCCTTCCCTCCAGCATATCAACCGTACCACACAGCTTGGTGTCATCGGCAAACTTGCTGAGGGCGCACTCAATCCCACTGTCCATGTCAGCGACAAAGATGTTAAACAAGACCGGTCCCAACACTGATCCCTGAGGGACACCACTCGTTACTGGTCTCCGGGTATCTCAGAACATAACCAAGGATAAGATGTAATTAAGATAAGAAAAAACAAATACTTCATTTTGGAAGACAATGTACTGGCATGATGTCCTTTAAACAATGGAACAGTCTCTCGGACTCGGATCCTACTTGGTGCTTTTATAGCCAGACCAGCAAATGCTAGAAAACAGACTGCAGGATATAGTCTTGCTTTGGCAAGTGATGGAGCTGGATGATCATTTCCATCTAAGCTTCCTTTCAATTCACACTGAAGTTTTGGAAGCAGGTTCTCTTTCTTAGCTTGTATTTGCCATTTGGAATCATGTATCAGCTGGAGCTCCTAGGTATAGCAGTCGCAACAAACATCAGTTGAGCTCTTAGGCATGAGCACAAACATTGTGCAACAAGGTTAGCAGGTTACTTTGCCTGCTATTGCCTGAGTTAATACTTCCTGCTAAATTGTGGTGTGCTGACATAGCAGTAGAGTTTCTGAATTAAAGCTGGCTTGTACCTTGTCAGTCTGCTGTGTGCTAAGAAGGTTTCACTTGCGCACGTAGAAATATCTTTATTTAATCTCTAGGTTTATAAGCTAAATAAACAAATACCAGAACTTCTCCCTTTTGACTTACTCCATGTGCTTCTTCGATGCCTGTTATCATCAGACTGTCGGTACAATGAGACGTGAATCACCTTTATTTAAAGTCTAATACAGAATCAAGCACCTTGACCCAACACATGCAGCAGAGACCGGGAGAACTGCACTGCACTCGTAGTCAGCAGCAGTTGAAAGTTTTGCTAGTTCTTTGGGGCAGCTTGTCCTGTTAAAAATGCCTGTAATGCTGAACCTTCTCCTCTAAGAACTTGTTTCTGAGAAATGTGCCAGTGTAGTCACCAATAAATGGAGTCATCTAAGCTTTACAAGTCATTTTGGAAAATCATGGCCACATTCTTGAATGGAGAGGACACATTTTTATTTCAGCCATATGAATGTAAACTAAAATCTCTCCTTCTCCTTTTCTCAAAATCAAAGAACAACGCTCTTTACAGAGCTACAAATTGTACCCCTTCAACACAGATACATGCACACTAAGACGAAGACCACCAATAGCAAATGCAGAATTATCTATTGCCATGTAAAAGACAAGTATACACAACAGAGCAAATAAGGGAAAAAAAATACTTTTAAAAGTAATATTACAGAGACAAAATAACAAGAGAAACATTTCAGCATATTGCTGCCCCAAGCGGCTGTAATTTCAATGGAAAATAACTACCAAATGTTTCCAAAGCCAACCACAGAAATCAAATAAGATTCAACTTAAATTCAATTTATTCTGAAGATTTTGTTATTATAGAGGCACACATGCATGTAGTATTCATGGTTATTTCTCAAAAATTAAACTCTTCTGGATTCAAATCTGTGTAACACCAAAAAAAAGGGTTTTAAAAGGAGAAATCCCTCTATTCTGTGAAACTGCTTCTGGGAACTTTCCTGGAAATCCCAGCAAGACAAGCCAAAGAAAATTATCTCTGGGGAATTGCGATTGTTGTAGCAAATGTGTGCTTATACTCTGATTCATTTAATTAAGCCCTTCGAATGAATAACAGGATACAAAAACAAGGGATATACTGAAAAAGAGTAACCAATCTATAACAAGAACTCTCAAGTTATTGACTGTATATTATACAAATGTAAATCCAAATCAGCAAAAAAAGCCCTTCTGTGCTTATATATTATGATGTTTCAACAGAAGTTTGAAAGCAGCATTTGCCAATGGTGTTAATTTTAAATTATATGACTAATGACAACACTGTATACCACCCAAGATTTTAGCATGCTGAGAAAATCTCATTTCTCTTTTGAAGTTATAGTAGAAAAACCATAAACCAATCATTTCTGAAGGATATTAATGGAGACAGAGTGAGAGAAGAAACACACACAGTGAAGAAGTTAAAATAAATTACTATATGTATAACAGACATAGTAAAATACCCAGATTACAAACCCTGAGTCTCTATTAATTTCTCTTTCACTTTAAATGAATAGCAATGTGTGAAAATTGTGCAAGGAAAATAGAAGCTGTTCTCTCATAAGCAACAGTGCTGTTTTCAAACAACAACTGCACTGTTAATATATTCACTTGTACTGTATTAGTAATAGTCAAAATTTGTCATGAACTTGCTGAGTGAATTTCATTGATAGCCGCGGTGAACTCCTTTCAGACAAGCACATCATGCTTTTGGACAAGCTGAGTTGCACTGAGCAACTACGGATCTGTAGCTATTAATGGAATTGTCTTCAAGTAGATCTACAGTTACATCTAGGTGAAGACTGGTCTCCAGTGGTCCACAAGTAGATGTACATTTACCCATGCTTATTAGTTTGGAAGAATGCCACTTTGGGGAAATATATTAGGAAGAAGTATAGGACCGAAAGGTGGAGACTGAGGTGCTGCTGAAGTTACAGATGATAACTTTTTAACGAAATTCAGCAACACGGACAAAAAGAGAAGCACTTGCTTTACATTAGTTTCTGAAGTTTCTGATTGCACCATTCATAACATCACCACGACTGAGGCATGCCAGCTTGAACCAGGACTTCCAACAGTTTTTTAAAAGTATTTTTTCTCTCAGTACAGCCTTGAAAAGTTGCCTTAGTCAGACCTTGAGTGCCTCAGATTACTCACAGTTTCCCATGACATTTTGATGTTTAAGTTAAATATGATACCAGGTTGGATAAGATTAAATAGGCCAGATGAACAAATGTAATGTACTTCATTTTTCCACTAAAAAGAAAAAATAAATAAAATAAAATAAACTGACAAGTTATTTTAAAGAGAAGAGTTGCATTTTGGGCACCTAGACACACATTTATAGCACTATCCAGTTACAAATACAGCAAATTTTAGGGCAGTCTTATACAACTCAATCAGAGCAGAAAAGGAAGTAAAAATTTGCACCCCATGCTTCAAATACACACACAGGGACAGAAATGCTGCATTCTAACTTCTCTGTCTTATATACAAGGGAATAACTTCACCCTCATCACACTACATACCTGAACTGGCAGAAAGCTGCTAGTAACCTCTTTAGTAACTGTCATTCTCATGTACTCCAGGACACAAATGCCCAGGCTGAACTCCAACATTACATTGTTCGGCCCTCAAATGGCAAAAATCCATCTAGAATTAAAAAATGGTACATTAAAATAACATACAGTAAGTAATGAATTTTGCAGTCCCTACTTAGCAAAACAATTTCCTCACATCACCTTTACCAGAAAGTGAAAGTTGCAATACAATATATGCTGCTAAATTAAACCTTGCACAAACATTACTAACAAGTACAGATGTACACTACTTCAAGTGCTTACCGTCTGCAATTCAAGCAAATAGCAAGTTACTGGAGGCCAAGAGCAAGCATTACAAGAGCTGTGAATGAAAGGTGATGTATTGTTAAATTGAATGTCTGTACAAGAGGGTTGTGCTTATGGAATTTGATAGCAATGAAAACTGCACTGAATATAAATGTCACCTTATTTATCATCCCTTATTTTTAGATTTTTCATTGCAAGGAAATACACTTAAGCAACTTTAATTCTGTACTAGAAAGCTCTCTATAAGAGAAAAAGTTGATTCAAGAACTTTTCAGAAATATTTTAGTTTCTGCAGTTCCCACAGCTGGGAAAAGAAGCACCCATTCAACTGAAGTCTGTAACAGTATTAATCATATCAGGTCATTTTGGGGTGTTCCCACACAGGTGTTTAGCAGATTATGGCTTGCTTTCCTAGTAGAAAAAACATAATTAATCAAACACCAAATAAAGCAGAAATTTTTACACACAGAATGGAGGATAAATATTTTTATAAAGTCCTTCTCTGACAGATTATAGCTTAGAAATGGGAAAAAGTTCCAAACACTTTCAAAAGTGATTAAATGCCAGTGGCCTCACCACTGCCTTTTATTGCCACATGGTCAAATTTTATTATCTCCTATCAAAGACCTAATGTCC